GGCTGCCCTCTCGCTGTCTCCTTTGATGCTCTGTTGATAAAACGGGAAAAGCACCGTAGCAGTTCTGTCACGTACATGCAAAATCAGCCATGTTAAAATAGCTCACGTGTACTCTTAGGTACGGCCACATAAATTTCTTTTCAGGAATGGGGTATGCACAATTCCTTAACCTTTAATCCACAGTTCCAGTTCTTTAGCGACATTCCTAGGTGTTTTAAAAACGAGTGGGATGTGTGTAACTTTCCCAACTACACATCCTTGCAAAACTATTTTAAATACCAACCATCAATAGTGCTAAAATTAAAAAAAAATTAATTGTATGAGAACTTTGCATCAATCCTAGTACACTAAGGGAAGGGATGAGGGAGCTGCAGATACTCCACCTGGCTATCAGAGATTTTTAGGAAGAGTTCGAGGTATTTGGCTTTCCATTCAAAGAGTTCCTTTAGGTTAAAAGGAGAAATCCATGTAATTTCTTCTCAGTGAAAACTTAAATTTCTTTTTGGCTGATCTTTAGGTATCAGTAATAGATTACATAAACAATTAATATTCAATAATATTCAATTAATATTCAATATTAATATTCAAGACAATGTCATCAAGACAGTTATGAAAACCAAACTGATAAATTAAAAAAACCCAATTGATTACAGCAAGCATGTATGCTGCCTGCATACTTACCCACTTGTAAAGGCAGGAGCCTCTGATTGTAAGAATTTGAGCTAGCCCACTTTTAGTTTGGTTTAGGTAATATTAGGACTGGGAATCACAAGGAAGTATTCCAGTCTAATAAAATACTTTTTCCTAAAATCTGTTCTGAGCCCAAAATCCCTTGCTCTTTAACATTCCCTTCATAGACATTCTCTTTCACTGGCTGGATGTGCCCAGTGCTATCATTAGTTCAGGTGGACATTAGTTCCTAAATTTGGTCCGGGAATCAGTACATTTATAGTAAACAGTTTTTTGAAAATCTTACAAGAGTTAATGTTTTAATTTATTTGAAGATTTACAGAGATGTTGAAGGTTGAAATAAAAAACAGCATTAAGTTCTGTAATGCAGTAATGGTCGTTAAAATCTTACCTTTCCGTGTGCTAACATTACAGCACGCTATAAAGTAAATCAAAGGAATTGCACAGTAAGTATCAGTAGTTATTTGACAGTGTATCTTTATGAATTTACTATTTTCATAATCTGCTGCAAATAGCATTTGAAAAGTCTCTCTTTTCTACCTTTGCATAATTTGTGTATGATGTATGGCACAATTTCTCAGGGTGGCCCTGAACCTGCAAAACCCTATGCTTCTATGTAATCCTCTTAAAATACAGATTTGATCCAGCACACCTTGTATACCTTTGGTACATTTCCCCTTACAAGGCAACTTGGAAGTGACTGAAGCCACGGTAAAACTCTGGCCAAACAGAAGAGAAAATAACCATATGTAACTTTAAAAATAGAAAACCAATCAAATAAAACTTACCTCCTCAACCTTTCCAGAAGGCAGTGTTTTCCTTCAGATCCAATCATGAGTTTTCATTTCCTCCAGTTTTATAACAGTTCCAGGTCCCAAAGAGGCAATCACCGATTTGCTTCCATTCAGTGTTTATGTCACTACAGTGGGCAGTAAGTTTAAAACAAAAATATCAAGCATCCCATTTCCACCTGTGGTCATACTTTCCTTTACACTCCTGTGAGAAACTCCCACACTGTAACATTTCACATGTAGAAATCTCCAGTTAATTGCCAGCTGCTCAAAGTAGGGAAGAGCTTAAAGCGCTGCCAAGTTTCACAGCCTATATATCTTAAATATCTATTAAAAGCAGAATTCTGGTTTTCTGTCCTTTGGGATCCTATGACTGGTCTTTAAACTGACTGGAAATGAAAGGAAGTGAGGGAACACAGACAAACCTGTTGTAAAAGTCCTAACCATGTGGGAAGTGTTGCATTGAATTTGTATCTTACTAGATACCTGCAGGTATCTAGATTTGCAGGTATCTTACTAGATACGTGCAAATCCATCTCTGACAATAATCTTGGTTGAGGAATTAATCTTGTAGAGTCTAGTAAAGCGTGAGCTATGACTAAAGCACTTCTGGTGGGCAGATAATGTAGAACAGCTTCTCCCTCTGGATTCTGTGATATCCAACAAGAACTGACCTCATGCTATAGTTTTTCCTGAAATTATAGTATTAAGAACACATCTTCCTCTAATCACACCCTTTCTTGCACAAGCTTAATGAAAAATTCATTGCTTAATG